TATAAAACTATATATATATATATTCACAGTCTGTTAACAGACATTGTGCCATCAGAACCATGGCAGAAAAAAAGTGAAGAAGATGGGAACACGAACTGCGATTAAAAAATATGGGAAACGATTTTTTGGTTTTACACACGCCATTTTGTATTTTTTTGTTTTGTTTTGTGAGTTTTGTGTGCATCAAAGGGATGGTAAAATGGCAGAACAACATTGACGCCACTGATGTCTGTTGCGGGCCATGACGTCTAATGTTTCCAACCACTGCGATTCAGCATCTCGTGGTCCCCAACCTGGAAGACGGACTGGTCCGACTGCCGCCAAACTTGAGGTTGCCTTCTTCATGCTCCTTCTCCACGTCATTGGCTGTCCACCGCGGCACTTTTTCCAATCGCTCCCTGGGAGTGCAAATAGCGCTCGACGTGGAAGGCGATGGGCTGGCATGCGCAGAACGTGCCCGAGCCAACGCATGCGATGTCGGAGAATAACGTCCTGAAGACTGGCACTATTCGCCCCAAGCACGCGGTCTCGCACCTCTGCGTTGCTTACGTGGTGTTGCCACCACACCCGAGCAATCCTTCGTAGACAGCGATTGTCGAAGACTGACAGCCGCTTCATATCTTCCGAGCGAATAGGCCGTCTCACAGCCGTACAAGAGTACTGCACGGACGGAAGCATTGTACACCCTGCCCTTGAGCTTGAGACTGACATCACGACGACGCCATAGGTGTCTCAGTTTGATGAATGCAAGGCGGGCCTTTGCAATCCGTTGTGAGACTTCATCTCCAACACCGCCACCAGCCGTGATGCAACTCCCTAGATAAGTAAAGCAAGGGACTTGCTCCAGAACATGTCCAGCAATGGTGAGCGCGGGTTCAGGCACCTGCCAGTCCTGGAGCAGCGTTTTACATTTTCCCGGAGTGAAGCATAAGCCGTACTTAGACGCCTCCATCGCCAAGCGGTCCAAAGCGCTCTGGACGGATTGTGGGTCGTCCCCCAGCAAGGCGATATCATCGGCGTAGTCCAAGTCCGTGACTCTGTCTCCAGGGAGGAGCTCAACACCGCAGTCCTGGACACCTTCCAGTGCTCTTTGGAGAACATCTTCGATGGCGAAATTGAAGAGGAAAGGTGAAATAGGGCAACCTTGGCGAACACCGCTGGTCACAGCAAATGAAGAAGAGTGCGTGCCGTAAGCCCTGACTTTGCCCGACGTGTGACTGTAAAGTTCTTTCAGGATAGTTACAAACTTGTCGGGCACACCTTTCTTCAGTAAACAGTTCCACAACGCAGATCTATCTACTGAATCAAATGCCGCTCGGATGTCCAAAAACACTACGATTGTTGGCCGCCGGTGGATGTGACGAAGTTCGAGAACTTGCCGAAGCGTGAAGATTTGGTCGATGCAGCCGCGGCCTGGACGAAATCCGGCTTGTTCTTCTCGGGAAAACTCCTCTCTAGTCGTTGAAAGCCTGCTAAGTAGGACCGACACGAAGATTTTGGATGCGACAGAGATTAACGAGATTCCACGGTAGTTGCAGCAATCGGCGCGGGAGCCCTTCTTGTGAATCGGAACAATGACCGATTCTCCCCATGAGTTCGGAACCTTCTCCTCAGTCCAAACTTTCGTGAACAGCGATAGGATTTCGCTGACAAGTACACTCCCGCCATCTTTGAATAGAGCCGGTGGTAGGTTGTCGGGACCCGGAGCCTTGTGGCGTTTCAAAGATTGGATTGCATTTCGAATCTCTGCTTCATTTGGGGGGCTGTGGAGACAGGCCAAGCATCATACATTGGGGCTGGAGGTGTCACAGGGGGCTGTGTTGGGTGGTTGAATTGAAGAGCGAAATGCTCTGCCCAGCGACCCAATCGCCTGTGAAGGTTGGTGATCTTCGTGCCGTCTGATTCGCAAATCGTCTGGCTGATAGCGTGGAAATTGCAACCAGTGGCCCTGATGATGTAAAATAGACGGCGGAAGTTGCCAGCTGATGCAGCGGCTTCCATCTCATCAGCTTGTTTTGACCACCAAGATTCACGATCAGAGCGAAGGCTTGCTTTCAGCTGTTGCGTAATAGACCGGCGGTGTTCGTTGTACTCTGCGCCAGCAGGCACCGCCCGTCGGCGATCCAGCAATTCCGAGGATCTTCCCGAGATCCAGCTTTTGGGAGTGGAGCGAGCGAGGCCACAGCTGGACAAACCGGCCGACAGCAAGGCTTGTTGCAGACTTGACCAGTGTTGATCAACATCCAGAGTGTGAGAGAGCGAGATTTTCACGAAGCCTTTGTTGATACTCTTTCTTCACCATTGGGTCCTCCAACTTGTAGGTGTTCAGTCGGGTGTGTTTTGACCTAGGCGAACCACCGAAACGCATGCAAACGGTCGCACACACCAGTGCATGATCAGTATCGACGCATGTTGACCAAAATGATCGGCAGTCGCGTACGCTGCCGCGCCACCTGCGACTTATAGCTATGTGGTCAATCTGTGACCAGCGCTGGGTTGATGATGGGGGGCGCCAAGTGGCGTACTGGCGTCCAGGATGACGAAAGCTGGTGCTGGTGAGGAATAGTTGATGATCAGCACACAGACTGAGCAGTCTCTCTCCATTGTCTGAGCGAACATCATCATATCCATGCGGTCCCCCGAGGTGGCGCTCACATGGCAGCAGACGACCGACACGCGCGTTGAAGTCACCTGCCAAAACAATGATGTCTGTTTTAGGAGCCCTTAGGAGCAGCTCATGAAGGTTCTGGTAGAACTGGTCTTTGACGGTGTCCGAGCTACAGTCAGTGGGCGCGTAGGCAGAGATCACGAAGAGAGCACGCTTTTCGACTCGACGTCTGCTAACTTTACAAGAGCCATGGAGCCTCATCGCACAAAGGCGGCTATTGATCGGAATCCAATCAATCAAAGCAGTCTCGGCTCTAGCACTGAGGGCGATTCCAACACCAGCTTGCCCAGATGCGGCAGACTCGGCGTCACCAGAGAGGCGTAGATGGAAGCGGGTGCGTGGGTGGAGCGGTGACACCAGCTGGTAGACCGAGTTAGAGTCCTGGAGTCGTGTTTCAGTCAGGCAGCAGATATCAATTCCAAGGGTCTCTAGCGTGCGTGCAAGTCCAGCTTGCTGACCGATCTGCAGTAATGTGCGTACGTTGAAGGCTGCAAGTTTGAACTGCGTTCCGGGTTGCAGGAGCGAAGATGGGCGACTTTGGGACCGGCAGCTCTCTGTTGAGTACTGTGTGGTTGAGTTGGCAGATGTCACGGGAACAGGTTCATCAGTGTAGGTGGGTTGATCGCCATAGAGGAATCAGGTAAAAATGGGTGTGAATGGTACAAGGGAAGGGTAGGTAAAATGGTGGCGTGTGCTTGTGCAGTTGGCATAGTGACATGAGTGAATAGCATGGTAGCAGCAAGAGAGCGGGTGAATGGTTGTGGTTGTAAGTCCATGGTTCGTCAGTGGGCGAGATACTACCCGGTTGCCCAGGCCGAAGTAGAGGGTTGTCTTAGGGGGCCCCACCCCGAGCCTTTGATCAAGGATCTAACCTACAAGGCAGCAGGGCGATATGAGGGTATCGCAACCCGTTGGGAGCCGGTGACCAAACGAGTGGTTCATACGCCTTTAGGACCGCATAGGACCAGGGGCCCAACACACCCTTGAATTACAATGCCACTCAGAGAGAGGCAAGGGGCAGTGACTTTATTTAGTGGCGAGTCACATCCGCCACGTCACAGTGTTGTTAAACGGACATATGTGGCTTTTTATAGGGAGAACGCTTGCCAGGCGAAAACCCACCACGTCCTGGAACACTGCCGCCGAACCATTCGCTGGAACGGGATAATCCCGAACCACCCAGCTGGCACCACGAGGAGGTTGTTCGGCAAGCCAGCCGTATAACACAATAATCCTGAAGCAAAAGTAGAATGCAGTTGGACGGCCCTCAGTATAGCCTTGAAAACACGGCCAATCAGACGGAGGCAAACCCTTCTATCGCTGAGGATGTCGCAGGTTTAAGAAGGCAGTTTTGGCTTCTGCATTGTCTGAACTGACTTCAGTTTCTATGCGGCCATCTTTGCCGATGCAGCTGCCAAGGTAAGTGAATCGATCAACCACCTCGAATTCCTCGTTATCAAGGATCAAGTGGTCAGCAAGTACAAGGCTAGTGTTCATGCAGCAACATTTTGCATTTTTATGGTGTGAAGCGCATAGTGAACAATGGGACCACTCTAAAGAGTCTGTTCAGGATTGATTGTACCGCTACAACACCATCAAATAGTACGACGTTATCGTCCGCATTTTCAAGCTCGTCTAACATTTCACCAGGTATGACCACAATGATGGCTTCGCGAGATGCCGTAAGGGACCATCAGGAACAATGTTTCAGCAACACGCATGCACATTGGATTTTAGGAAAGAGTTGCTTTGGTGCAATAACATAATTACTTGTAGCATCTTGCTCACTTACGCTTTCGAAAAGTACTGTTTGGTCTCTTTTTCTACGGACACGACTTTAGGTTACCTGTTGTTGCGCTTTTAAGCACTTACTGGATTCAGTCACCTTCATTGTCGTCGCCTCTCTTTGTTTTTGGCACTGGTTTTTCTTCGGGTTAGGTTGGCCTTACTCCTAACATGGGCAAATTCCAAAATTTTGGTCACGGAGAAGCCGACTAAGCCCCATTGAGAAGTTGAGCGCAATTTCTTGTTATTCAGTTGTGCTTGGAATTTATCGTCTCTGCCGTGTGAAACTTTTCTCTATAAGGGGAATTCAGCTACTTGGTATTATTACACAATAAGTTTCTTTCTAGATCACACCAAACGCGTCTGTTTTCTCACCAGAAACCTCCTTCTACTTTTTCTCACGCGTTGTCAGACCGCGGTTCATAACAAAGATGACCCCAATAGCACGGTTTCTTTAAAGCTGTTTATTTGCTGAGCGTAGTACGAGTAATTTTTGTTACTGATAGTTATTTCTGTTCATTACCTCTCACACAATGATCGGCCCCAGGTTTATTTCTCAAAATTTGTGCCATTGATCCGACCCCGGGATCTCTCAGTTCATCCAACATAACTGCTGCTGCAGCTGAGAGCATGGGCATCACACCAGAGTTGTTACGCATCGCAGTGGTGAACGCTCGACAATATGAGACTTTCTTGTTAGTACTGGAACGGGATTTAATCGAGATGACCGCGAATGTGGAGCGACTCTGCAACAATTTCAATGCGCGCATGAAAGAGCTGCACGAGTTGATACGCGATCGTCAATCCGTACCCAGCATGGATGTGTATGTAAGTGTGAGGTTTATGTTTAGCAGTTTCGCTTTTATTTGCTATACTTGCTCAAGCGGCCATACTTTCCCAATTGCACTCATTTATCCTCTTACGGAGGCACTTCAAGGAGGTTAGGAAGGTTGGATAAGTACAAAAATACGCCGAACTAATTTGACATCGCCCGTATTAACTTGACCGAAAGCGTAAAAATAGCAAAAACGAATAGAACACACCCAAGGATTAGAGCGCAGTGGCATCGCTGAGTAAGCAATTGTACCATACTGATAAGTTTCATTGACCACTGACATAATGGTCTCGAGACCCATTTGAACAAGGTGGCTCTCGCTGATTCTGCGCAGCTCCTCTGTCAGTCACTCTAATTGTCTTCGTAATACCATGGATAGTAATCCACAAGCGATTACAGCGTCCACAGAAACACGACTGAGAACGTGAGCTTATCAGATTACTCAGTTCAAATTTGCCGGTGAGTATTTGGCGGAATATTAGGTTCACAGCGATCATATATATATATATATATATATATATATATATATATACAGTCGATTCCGGTTAATATGACCACCGGTTAATAGGAAGCAGCCGCTTATTCGGGCCAAATTCTAGAGAACCGAAACGAATCCTATTGCGCTAGCCTAATTTTAGCCGCTTATTAGGACCGGAATTCCGCTTAATCGGACCAGGCGATAGAAGGTGGCAGGTAACAGATGTGTTAAAATCAAGTTCTGTGCCTGGGTGTCTGGACTAAACCCACAGTTCATATGTCGGGCAAGAAAGCGTATCATTCAGTTACGGGTAATCCGAGTTTGCCTTCGGATAAACTGAACTGCGGCTACCATGAGTCACATCTATCTAATTGGCTTCAGAACCGCCCGAAACTGACTGTAGTTTCCAACACTTGTAGGCGGACAGAAGAGATAAATGTTTGTTCACATGTCGTTAATCGCTCGATCGATGTGGCGCACGTGCATTGAGCCGAAAGCCATGTGCCCGCATTGCGGGCCTACGCTCGAGCACGGCAAGTGATCGCGGACACATAGGTCCGGCGAATCATAGGACAGCAGGTGGCTAGGTCAACCATAGAAATACCCGGGAGACAGACTCGAGTTCACCTCAGTGAAATGTGCGTGTCTTGTTGCATGTTAAGAAAGTGCCACGATGGGACTTGACGTTAGCTGAGAAGATTCGTTTCCTAGATCAGATCAAGGAACAGGGACCATCCACTAGTCACCGTCGATTGGTGGAAATTACCTGCTTGGCAAAATCTACAATATCGCGCCTGATAAAACAAGAGAAAGATCTGCGAGAAGAATGAGCACAATGTGAAGGACGACGAGGTACTACCAAAAAACGGAAGCGTGAAGGCAAGGATCCAGACGTCGATGAGGCCCTTAATGATTGGTTTACCTTTGTTACTGGACGAGCCGTGCGAGTAAGTGGCCCAATGTTAAAGTACAAAACGGAAGAACTCGCTAAAATGCTGGGCCACGAAGATTGTATCGCTACGGACGGCTGGTTGTCTCGATGGAAATCTAGACATGATGTAAACTTTAAGAAAGGACATGGTGAGAAAGAAAGTGCCAATAGCGCTCGAGCTGAAGAGTGGAAATCAACAAAACTACCAGAGTTTCTTGAAAAATTTCCAGCAGATGACATCTATAATGCTGATGAAACCGCGGTGTACTATAGGACTACACTGGACGGCTCCTTAAGTTACAAACATGTTACTCTCTCTGGCTGCAAAAAAGCGATGGATTGCGTAACTGTCTTGTGCTGCTCAAACATGTCCGGAACAGACAAGAGGAAGTTGCTGGTTATAGGAAAATGTGCCAAGCCTTGCTGCTTTAAGGGACTCAGAATGGACAGTTTACCAGTTGTGTATTGTGTGAACAGAAATGCATGGATGAGATCTACGCTTTTTAAAGAATGGGTGAAGGATTGGGACACAGAGTTACAACGCCAGTCGAGAAAAGCGTTATTACTTCTCGACAATTGTGCAGTACATTCAAATTTGGATTTCTTGCAGAATATCCAGATGGAATTTCTGCCTCCTAACACCACATCTTTGATACAGGCAATGGACATGGGCATCATAAAAAATTTGAAGACCTTTTATCGTTCAAGGTTGGTGAATTACATCCTTGAATAAATTGAGGAAGGCTTGCTGACCTCATCCTCGACGGCAACAAACCACACTGGATATGGTATTCAAACGCTAAATGGAACTCGGTAATCCCTTTGTATAAAACTGTACTTCACATGCTGAATATCTTGTAGGTCGTTACGAAGAATTTTTTTGTAAATTTCTTTTTCAGTGAACAAAGTTCGTTATCAAAGCAGTTCTTGTTTGCGTGATTGCCATAAATATATGCCGCCAATACAGGTCATAATAGTAGTTTCCTATGTTATGTATAGCACGTCCCATCTTGTTACATCGGGTAACTTTGGTTAATCGGACCAGCCGCTTAATAGGACCAAAATGGTCTGGTCCCGATTGGTCCGATTAACCAGAATCGACTATATATATATATATATATATATATATATATATATATACCTCAGATGACTTTACAGTTGTCACTGGTATGAAGCAAGGCTGTGTCTTAGCTCCTGCCCTGTTTAATATATATCTTCATGCAATGTTGTCCTGTGCTTTTGATGCCGCTTGTGCTTACGGTGTTCGTGTGGAGCACCGTATTGATGGTGGGTTGCTGAACATCCTTTGTTTCGGTGCGAGAACTCTAGTCTGTGAGACAACTATCCATATGTTGCTGTTTGCTGACGACTGTGCGTTGTTTTCCCACAGCGCGAATGACTTGCAGCATATGACTAGTGCTCTGGCTTCGACAGCGGCCAAATTCGAGCTCGCCATCAACACAAACAAAACTGTCTGTCTGTTTCAGCCTTCACCGGAGGTGCAATCTTCAATATTGGCGCGAATCAGCATTGGTGCTGAAGTATTGAAAACCACCTCCCGCTTCTGCTACCTTGGGAGTGAGATGTCGACTGATCAGCAGATATACATTGAACTTCGTATCCGCGTGTCGAAGGCAGCGGCCGCATTCGGAAGCTTGAGTACCGAGTGTGGAAAAACCATCAGCTTACCATTGGCACGAAGCTGATGGTGTACAAATCCATGGTGTCGTCCGTTCTTCTATACGGCAGTGGACCGTGGACGATGCAACGTCTGGATGTGCGCTATCTCGAGCGGTTCCATCAGCAGTGCTTGCGACGGATTTTGCGGATCGGTTGGGGGTGACAGAGTTGCAGACACGGAAGTGTTGCGCCGAAGTGGGATGTATGCAGTGGACGGCATACTTTTGCTGAGATAGCTGAGGTGGATCGGTCATGTGAGCCGTATGGATTCCACGCGGATACCGAAGCAGCTATTATATGGTCAGCTGAGTATAGGGAAGCGGCATGCTGGCAAACCAAAGTTACGTTACCAGGACATGATTAAAGAGAGCCTCTTACGTTCTACTCTTGATTGCAGCGTTGCCAAAGGTAATTAACTGCGATGTGGTCAGTTTGCGTCCAAGCTTGACCAGGCGGCGGAAGTCGACAGATAACTCGTTAGCGCCAGCAACGTCGACAACTGGTGCTGGAAGGAACAAGCCATGGTCGTCGCACAGTTGAAGGAGTCGAACACCATTGTCCGTCCTGCGAGTACTGTGGTTGTGTTGACCACCAGATTTGTCGGCCGGTGGCCGAGTGGTCTGCACGTTTGCTTTGCAACCATAAGGTCACCGGTTCGAATCCGCGTAGGGGTGGGCGTCCTCGCGGTATACTCAGCCCACGCGCGACTGGTGATGGTCGCGCGGCAGCGAAGCGCCGTTACGGCGTACAGCTGACACATTACATTACATTTTTTACTCATGAACGTCCAGTCTACCGACCTGGGCATTTAGGTCACCGGCGATTATCACGATGTCCGTGCGGCTTTCCTTACGGAGGAGCTCGGTGAGTTGGCGGTAGAACTCGTCTTTAGCTTCGTCCGGACTGCAGTTTGTGGGAGCGCACGCTGCCACAGTGAATAAGCAGTGCTTACTGTTCCCGTGGATGGGAGGTCGCACTGAGCTTTCCAAGCGGACTGCACAAAGACGACTGGTGACTGGGAACCAGTCACTGAGCACTGCGTCAGCACGTGCGCTTAACGCAACGCCTACGCCGGCGCAACCAGAGGCTGCCGCTGTCGCATCTCCAGATAAGCGCAAGGTGAATGTGCGTTTGGAACTAATGGATGGCGGGAGTTCGGTTAGGCAGCAAACGTCGATTGTGAGGGTTTCTAAGGTGCGCGCAAGAGCAGCTTGTGAACCAAGGTGCATGAGCTTTCGAACATTGAACGTTGTTAGATTGAAGAGCGAGCGGGGGGGGGGATGAAAGTCTTGCTGTTGGTATTGGAATGTGTGCGATCGGTTGTGAACAGTTCATTGATGTGGCCAATTGTACCGTCTTTATTTGCAGTGCACTTTTAGAGGCTCGAAATTGGTGAGGGGTTGCTAAGAACAGGAGGGTTTGATAAAGGTGGAATGAAGAACATGATTCGCGATGCCGTAAAGTTAGGTCTAGCATGCCCGACCGCCAACACCTTGACCAAAGAGTGAGAGAGTTTAGGCAGCGAGAAACGTGAGTAGAGAATTTTAAATCCATCATTTCATGTGTTGTGTGGGCATTCAGTTTCCCGGTTGCCCAGACCGAGGAAGGGATTGACTTAGGGGGCCCCACCTAGAACGTTTGGTCATAGGGACCTGACCCGCAGAGCAGCGGAGCGAATTAAAGGCGTCGCGTCCATTGGGAGCCGTTGACCGATTACTCGGTTCATCTACCTTTCGTTTTGCCTAGTAGCTGGCTGCTAACTTTCCGCAACGATGCCCATCCGTTGCTGGTAGCTCAGCTGGCATGCAACTGTTGTATTTATTTTCTTTTTTTATTTTCTTTATTGCGGCACAGTAGCTGTGGTGTTTTAGATCTCTGGCTAACGTGGATAATGATGAGGACGC